AAATGCGAGGAAGCAAAAAACACCCAACCGGAAAAGCAAAATGAAAAAAGAATCCAAAAATGCGAGGATAGTGTAAGGAGCCTCTGGGACAGCTTCAAGCGTACCAACATCAGAATTATAGGGGTGCCAGAAGATGAGAGAGAGCAAGATATTGAAAACCTATTTGAAGAAATAATGACAGAAAACTTCCCCCACCTGGTGAAAGAAATGGACTTACAGGTCCAAGAAGCGCGGAGAACCCCAAACAAAAGGAATCCAAAGAGGACCACACCAAGACACATCATAATTAAAATGCCAAGAGCAAAAGATAAAGAGAGAATCTTAAAAACAGCAAGAGAAAGAAACTCAGTTACCTACAAGGGAATACCCATACGACTGTCAGCTGATTTCTCAACAGAAACTTTGCAGGCCAGAAGGGAGTGGCAAAAAATATTCAAAGTGATGAATACCAAGAACCTACAACCAAGATTACTTTATCCAGCAAAGCTATCATTCAGAATTGAAGGTCAGATAAAGAGCTTCACAGATAAGGAAAAGCTAAAGGAGTTCATCACCACCAAACCAGGATTATATGAAATGCTGAAAGGTATCCTTTAAGAAGGGGAAGAGGAAGAAAAAGGTAAAGATACAAATTATGAACAACAAATATGCATCTATCAACAAGTGAATCTAAGAATCAAGTGAATAAATAATCTGATGAACAGAATGAACTGTTGATTATAATAGAATCAGGGACATAGAAAGGGAATGGACTGACTATTCCTGGGGGGGAAAGGGGTGTGGGAGATGCGGGAAGAGACTGGACAAAAATCGTGCACCTATGGATGAGGACAGTGGGTGGGGAGTGAGGGCGGAGGGTGGGGCGGGAACTGGGAGGAGGGGAGTTATGGGGGGAAAAAAAAGAGGAACAAATGTAATAATCTGAACAATAAAGATTTAATTAAAATAAAAAAAAAAAAAAAAAAATAAAGCATGTAGAAACGTAAGAGGCAGCGGTTCCCACTACTCTCCCCCCTCTTCCTCCCCCCCCGCCCCCCGGCCCCTGCACCCCCCACACACAGGGGAGAGTGGCTGCTGGGTCTTGGCTGTTCCAGAGAAAGGCTGAAGTCTCAACCTGCTGGGCAGGCCTTAAACCAGCAGCCTTCTGCCCCCAATAAAGGAAAGAAGTCCAGCCCCAAACAGAAGCCTGTGCCCAGGACGCTGAGGCCTTCGGAGAGGGACCTCGGGATGAGCCCGTCTCGGCCTCGCGTTTCTGAGCAGAACGAGCGATAGAAAGTGCGCCGACGACTCTGCAGCGAGCAGCACTGCCGCCAATTATTCTTGTCCTCCACTGGAGCTTGTCATCCTACAGAACCATCAGCTACAGGAGCCTGAGAGTTAAAAGCGAGTTCTCTCCCCATTCAGCATGGAAAAGTGCTGCTCACAGCAACTTGACATCATTTCATTAGATGAGATTAATTTTTAAATGTGTTATCCTAACAATCATGCCAACTACCACGTAATTAATATTCCAACTGACTCTACAAAAATCACAAAATCCCCTAAAGAAAATAATTTGTTATTAGGCATGAACGAGACTTTTCTACGGCCACTAGCGCTTAAGACGGAGAGTTCATCACATAGTGGGTGGCATCGCTTCCGCGCTTCCTCCCCTCAGCCAGCGCGAGAGCTGCCAGCGGCAGGCTCTCCCCAGCTTCCCCTCACACAGGAACGCACTTGCTGGTTGAAGCTGTGAGGCTGAAGTGATGAGCGCTGAAAGCCCAGCAATTAAAAAGCCCTTTCACTTGCAGGAGAGGCGAAATTAACACATGATGAACATACCTAGTCATTTGCTGCTTCCATAGCCCCAGCTGAGAATTAGAACACTGGCTGGCTTATTCCTTGGGGTCACTTCTTCCATTTTTAAAGAAATGCACATAAGAAACCCTTACCCTTGTTCTCTTCTTCTCGTTCATGAGGCAATCTCATCAATGTCTCCATCTATTTCAACCTGCAGCATCACCAGAACAAGAGCTTCCATACACATATTTCTTTCCCTTAATACGACCTCCTTTCCACCTTGGGGAAGGGTAGGGGGCAGGGCAGGCACTTCTATTTTCATACTCCAACTATTAAATTCGTTGAGCAATTAAGCTACCTTCATTCAAAAGTTAAGCATCATCATTTCCATTTAAAACCAGTCACTAGAGTCCCAGTCACTTGTGGTTTCAGGATCAGCTAAGTGTTCCCACTGTTGACAAGTCTCCATTGCTCTAGCAAGTTCCAAGAACAACTTTACCCACGTGATACCTTGACCCGGCTCCCACGTCCAAACACCAAGAAGCAGACGAGGAGTCTGCCCAGAAGTCAGCCCCGCCATGCGCTGACTGGCCCCACCCGCACACCCCCCAGGCGAACTCCTGTGAGACGCCCAAGAATCCCTGGGAAACAAGGAGGCGCCTCAGGACAGCAAGGGGCAGGACAGCAAGGAGGCGCCACAGGACTGAAGGCTGGACAGTCTCGGGTCTGGTCTTGGCAACTGCAACAGACACAGAGTATTTTTTTGTCGGCCTGCACACCCCCTTTTGGGAACTGCCTCTCTCCAACTCCAAGGAGCCCCACTTCCTGTGCTTCCTGTGCTCCCGTGAGCTGTGTTGGCCAATCAGAGAATCCCACCGCCTGGATTTAATGAACTGTCTTGGGGGACACTTACCAAGCAGGGCCAGACCCTCTGCCAGGGTCTGATGTGGACACCAGGTCACCTACTTTAAGGACCATGCAAACCTACAATTGCAGAGCTACCTCTTCTACCACGTGGAGATCAGGCCAACCCAGGAGAGTGGCCAGAGGGCAAGAGAGTGACAGGTCCCCACAGCACCCGGGCACCCGGTCCTCAAACCAGACTGAGTGTGCCACCAGCAGCCCAGAGTTTGCGGGACAGGCCTTAGAGGCTAAATGTACGCATCCGAGACCCAAGCTCCTTCTTCAGTTCCCCACGATCAATCACTTCTAAAACCAAAGGATACTAAATGCCCCCAGAGAGAAGAGAAGCTCAAAGAAGAAACTCTGCACAAGGGAAAAACTATCCAAGCTTATCTGTCATCCAAGACCTGAGGGGCACGGCCGATAGGAAAGAGGAGAAAAACAATGGGGAACTGGGGCAGGGGGGTGGGGGAGTAGGGGGGTGGGCAGAGCAGCTGTCTCCAGGGAGGTGGCGCAGACTAAAGAGAAATGCTTCCAAAATCATTCCAAACATATATTCTCACTTTTTATCAGCAAGGAGAAAAAAAATACACAGCACCCAAACAAAAGGAACTTGTCAATAAACAAACTGCTCCCAGGCTATGAACCTAACTGTTCCTGTTACCTTTATTTTTTCTTAATATTTTTTATTGATTTCAGAGAGGAAGGGAGAGGAGAGGGAGATAGAAACATCAATAATGAGAGAATCATGGATTGGCTGCCTCCTACTGGGGATCGAGCCCACAACCCGGGCATGTGCCCTGAAGGGGAATCGAACCGTGACCTCCTGGTTCACAGGTCAATGCTCAACCACTGAGCCATGCCAGCCGGGCACCTGTTATCTTTAGACTACAGTTCAGTTTTCCTTTCTCAGCTACCCTGGGGGGTCTCTGCCCCGGCCTGCCGGCTGAGGAAACCATAAGTAGCAAATTCTGTGACGCATGTACAGGACAGTCTCCCTCAGATGGAGCCTAACGTGATTAGAGAGTAGAGAGAAATCTACCGAACAGCACTCTAGATGCTCCTCACCGAGGACAGGGAACGACAGTACAAGCAGCGACAACACTGAGGGCCGAACGTGTTGACCACCAAGCCTTCAACTTGCGGGGGCCAGGGGGCTCCTCTGAGAAGCTGACGAAGCCAGAACATCTTCCCCAGGAAAAGGGGCCACAATATTATTTTGTACACTAGTGCCCCGGTGCACGAATTCGTGCACATTGAAAGGAAATTAGTTAGAAGGTGACCAGTGGGGCAGGACTGGGCGAGAGGGGCCAGACACGCCCTGGAGCCCACCTCCAGTGGTCCCTCCTCAGCCAGCTGCACCTGGGGTGGTGCTGCAGCTCGAAGGGCGTCAGCCTGACCTGTGGGGATCAGGCTGAAACCAGCTCTCCAACATCCCGCAAGGGGTCCCGGAGTGCGAGAGGGCACTCTGCAAAGTTGCTGTCATACAGGGTGTGGAACGCAAATGCAAGTGTCCAGTAAACCAGATTCAGGGCTGAGAGTGCCCCAGCAACAACATGACCCACAGCCGAAGGTGGAATCGTGAGGCCCCGCGAGGAATTGGGCTCCCTCCTCTCTAGTTTTGGGGTGTGTCACCCAAGAATCACCGCTGCCAAGTCATTGCAGCTCAGCAGCTCCTACGTTGAGTGTCTGCACCCTGGTGGTCAGTGCACGTCGTATCTACTGGTCGGATGGACACTTGGCATATTAGCCATATATATATATATATATATATATATATATATATGCACATATATATATATATATATATATATATTTTTTTTTTTTTCCCCAAGGGGTTCATAAAAGCTGCTTCCTACAGCCCAGGTCGGTGGCTCATGTGGTTGGAGCATTGTCCCATACACCAAAAGGTTGTGGTTTCAATTCCCAGTCAGGGCATATACCTAGGTTGTGGGTTCAAATCCTAGTCGGGGCACCTATGGAAGGCAACCCATCGATGTTTCTCTCTTTCCCTCTCTAAAATCAATAAAAATCATATCCTCAGGTGAGGATTGAAAACAAAACAAAACAAAGCTGCTTCCTTAGCCAGCCTCCAGGTTAATTACACCTTAGATTTTTTAATTTAATTACCTGAGCATCATGACTAAGCCTCAAAAACCTCCAAGGACTTCAAAGGACACGAGCTCACAGGGAAACTCTAAAACTTCCAACTCTGTAACCCCAGGCTGAATCAAGAACAAAAAAGAAATAAAAACGTACCCTCACCTCTGCACTCATGAACCTGAGAAACCTGGCTCTCCCTACATTCGCCGCCTTACCTTGTTTGACCACTTGTAGGCTTGGAGGAGCTGGCTGTAGAGGGGAGTTTTGTCCTGCACGGGGTCCAGGCTCAGCAGGCCGCTGTTATGGAGCGGGTGGTTCTCCGACGGCTTGCCGACCAGGTTGCTCAGACGTTCCAGCTCGCTGAAAAGGAGCAGGGAGAGCAAACCTGAGTCCCCGGAAAGGCCAGCGCTCGCCACCACAGTGGTCAAGGGCTGCTCTTCAACGCCCATCAGAAGCCCCCCAAAAAGAAGAGCTTTTTTGGGGGGGGTGAAAAAGATTGGGAACAATCAAGAAAACCCCTACCTGGGCGCTTATCTTATTTTAAAACCCGGCTCTCGGGTGCCATCCCAAAGGAGGCGGAAAGTTGAGAGCACCTGAGTCAGTAAGACGCCTGAAACTGGGCTTTTACAACTCGCATCATTCCCTGCGCGGAGCCCCGGCACTTTGAAAGGTGGTAAATGAAACACTGCTCCTCACTGAGGCTCCGGGCCCCACACAGATCGTCACATTTGGCAGAACAGCAAGTACCTGAATAAATGGTGATTACCTGCCATTCACGCAGGGATAGATTTGTACCTGGTGCCTCACAGACGGCAAACTTAACAAAGGAGAGAGAAAATAAACAAATGGACCGGGAAGGCCCTACAGAGGGGCTGCGTCAGTCTCGCAGGAAAACTCCCGAGAACCTGGGACAGTGAGCCAAGGGAAAGGACGTTCCAGGAGCACCGTCCCAGGGGCCCCGGGTCCGAGGGGCCGTCCCAAACCGTCCGCAGGAGCCGCCCCAGGAGCCGCTGCTCGTGCCACGTTCCTTCAGAAGCTCCCGTCACCTTCTCCCCATAGAAAGATCTAAGAAGGCAAAGGGGCAATGCAGACCTTCCTAAGCTCTAAGGCGGTGAAGGGCTGCAGCCTCCTGAACACTGCAAAGGGAAGCGAACCGGGAGGACACGGAAGCGAGGAAAGGAAGGGTGACCATCGCGGCCCCTCCAGCGAGCGGGAGAGTAGTGACGGGCGGTGCCAGAGAACAGCACGCGATGTGCGAGCTGAGGAGGGGGTGCGATTCCCTGGCTTTCCCCCAAAAGAGAAGGCACCTACTTCGGGGGGATGGAAGAGGCACCATCACTTGGCCACCACCTCCTCCTCGGTTCTACCTCCCTCTTCCATCTGCTTCCTCGGGAGACAAGTTGAGAAAAAAGAATCTAACCACCCCAGGATTCAAAGCAGGGCCTTTCCCTGCTCGGCTCAGCTCTGAGAAATAAAATGCGGGAATCCGGAAAGGCGAACAAGACCGTCCGCGGGCAGCGCTGGCTCTCTCACGGAAGGGAAGACAGCCTGAGGACCTAGCCAGTTAAAGCTGCCTCCGATGTGCGATTTACACACGTCCTCCCGCTTCATTCTCACACCACCACGTATAATGTGGAAGGAGTGAAGGTTAACCTGCACGAAAGAGAAAGAAATGCACAATCCTTCGCCTTCAAAGGACCACAAGCTAATAAGCCAGTGGTTCTCAACCTGGGCTGCACCTTAGAATCACCTGGGAATCTTTTTAAAATCCTGATTTCCGGGCCCCATCCTCCGGAAATTCTGTGTCTTTGTGATGGGGTGGGGCCACAACATGAGTAACAAAGAAACCGAATTTCCGGAGGATGAGGCCCAGAAATCAGGATTTTAAAAAGATTCCCAGGTAATTCTAATGTGCAGCCAAGGTTAGGAACCGCTGTAATAAGTGAAGGGAGGTGAAGTGATTCCGCTGTTACACCCGAGCCTGGCTCTCCCCTGGGGAGGGAACTGGGCCGGACCGGGGAGGGGGAGAGGAGGGGGAGAGGAGGGTGCTGGAGGGGGAGGGAAAGGCTGAGGGTGGCCTGTTCTGTGCTGTGGGGGGTGGGACAGGGGGCCCCGATGCATCCAGGTCCACGGCGAGGAATGAGGGCTCCTCAGGTGGGTGCCCCCGGGCTTGGGGCAGGGCCAGCCGCAGGTGGGTGAGGCTGCCGGGGCACAGAGGCTGAGGGTGAGGGCCTGCCCGGCTGCAGGGCGAGCGGTTCATGGGGGCGTGTCTCCTCGGGAGGAACCCCACGACCCCGAAGGGGCCCGGGCGGCGGCGGCGGCCAGGACACCGAGGCCCGGGGCAGGGAGACGAGCACGCGGAGGCGGGGACGCGGTGCCGCCGAGGGGCCGGCAGAGGCGGAAACGGGGAGCAGTCCCCGAGGAGGGAGACTCGCGCGGGGGCGGGACGGTGCGCGCCGGGCCGGGCCCCCGGCCCCCTCGGCCGGTACCTACTTGAGGTCCCGGTTGACCGAGTGCAGGTTGTCCTGGAAGTGCGCGATGAAGGCCTTCTCCCGGCCCTCCAGCGTCTCCTTGTTGCGCATGCCATCCTTCAGGCAGTCGAACACCCTGCTCACGCTGGAGCGCAGCGCCTGGATGGCACTGATGGCCTGGGAGAAGGCCTCCAGGTTCACGCCGACGCTCAGCGGGTCCGCCATATCGCCGCCGCCGTCACCACAGCCGCTCCATTGCCGGCTTCGCGAGCGAAAGCCGCGCTCGCTGATGACGCGGCGCGCGGAGGCTTCTGGGAAATGTAGTTTCCGCGGGGCGGGGCTGCTCAGGTGGTCTGTGCAGGAGAAGTATCCAAAAAAGGGGTTCCAGTTTAACTACAGGAATACATGGGCAGGAAAGTGATCTCCATTTAGGGAAGTAAGGCTGCACGCTGGGATTTCTTGGTGGTGACAAGGCAATACAGAACGTCCCCGCATTTCCCCAAACTGGCGCTCTGGAGAGTTATATGGGAGAGTATTGCTCAGAGCAATGGTGTCCGTGGAGTAAAGAACTATAACCCCATGAATAAAATGAGTCCATACCCATAAATAAGTGGGAGATATGGGAAAGTTATTTCCCGCGGTGGAATGCCAACCAATCAGTGTAGAGGGAATGATGCAAAGGAAATTTCCATTTGGCAACATTGGAGTAATACTTGATTCAGATAAGATCGAGGGATGCTAAAGCTAGTGAGTGAACGTGTGAGGAGTAACAGGATATTTATATAGTCTCAGAGTATCACTCCCAAGGAACTTATTAATTAAGAAGGGAGAAACAAGGATCTAGTGATTTCACTTCTGGGCACAGATCCAAAAAGAAGGGAAAACAAACTGGAGCAGATATGTGCACACGCGTGTTCATAGCAGCTTTACTCGCAATAGCTGAGAGGCAGAGCAACCCAGCGCCCGTCCTCCGATGAACACTTAAGCAACCTGTGGTGTTTACATACAAAGGAATAGTTCAGCCTTAAAAAGGAAGGGAATGTTGACACCTGCTACAATATGGATGAACCTTGAAGACATTATGTTAAATCAGCGGTTCTCAACCTGTGGGTCTCGACCCCTTTGGGGGTCGAACAACCCTTTCACAGGGGTCGCCTAAGACCATCGGAAAACACATATATAATTACATATTGTTTTGTGATTAATCACAGTGCTTTAATTATGTCCAACTTGTAACAATGAAAATACATCCTGCATATCAGATCTTTACATTACGATTCATAACAGTAGCAAAATTACAGTTATGAAGTAGCAACAAAAATAATGTTATGGTTGGGGGTCACCACAACATGAGGAACTGTATTAAAGGGTCGCGGCATTAGGAAGGTTGAGAACCACTGTGTTAAATGAAATACGTCAGTCACAAAAGGACAACTACTGTATGATTCCACTTATGTGAGGTACCAGGCGTGGGCAAATTCACAGAAACAGAAGTAGAATGGTGGGTGCCAGGGGCTGGGGGAGGGGAGATGGGGAGTTAGTGATTAATGGGGATTGAGTTTCAGTTGTAGAAGATGAAAAAGTTCCTCAGATGGCGGTGTAGGTTGCACAACAATGAATGCACTCGACGCTACAGAGCTAGACACTTAACACTGGTTAAAATGGTCAATTTTATGTTACATATATTTTACCATATATTTTTTAATGCAGTAACTTAAAAGGGAGGGGAGGTACTGGTGACTTCAAAGCAGAGAAACCTGGCACACCTTACCCTAACCAAGAGATCAAAGGTCAACATCACTTCCTGAAATGATGCCCTGAGGAGAGGGTAGCATGGCCTCTGTGACAGTCCTGCCCAAAATGCAAAACCTGAACCTGGTCAGGACATCAGGCAACTCAAACGGAAGGACATTCGACTAGACCACTGACCTGCACTTTCCCACAGAGCATGTGTCATGAAAGACATAAAAGGCCTGGGGAACAGTCCCAAAGTCAGAGAGACAGAAGAAGCAGGACAGCTGAATGACGTGGGATTTCCTTTTGCGGACAAGCCCCAGCCAATCGGTGAAATCTGAGCCAGGCTGTAGGTGAGTTCATGGTATTTTACCGGTGGTGGCTTTATGATTTCGATCATCGTATTGTGGTTCTGGAAGAGGATATCCTCATTTAGGAGAAATGTACCCTGGAAGATAAAGGAGCATCGTTATGTCTGCGTGAGGAAGAAGGTGGGGTGGATATGTTTATTTAGAGAAAGATAAAGCAGATGCAGTGAGATAGTAACAGTGGTAGAATCTGGATGGAAGATATATAGAAATTATACTATTCTTGCAAGGGTAAGATTGAAATTATGTCTAAATAAATTGTTTTCAATGGCCATCAAAAGTGAGCATGGACAGTGCTGGCACAGTCTAGGTCAGTGGTCGGCAAACTGCGGCTCGCGAGCCACATGCGGCTCTTTGGCCCCTTGAGTGTGGCTCTTCCACAACATACCACGTGCGGGCACGCATGTACAGTGCGATTGAAACTTCATGGCCCATGCGAAGAAGTCGGTATTTTGTGGAAGAGCCGGTATTCTGTGGAAGAGCCACACTCAAGGGGCCAAAGAGCCGCATGTGGCTCGCGAGCCACGGTTTGCTGAGCCGCAGTTTGCCGACCACTGGTCTAAATGGTAAGAAAAATCTTGTTTGCCAGGCTTTGTGGTCCAGGATCTTCAAAATTATGTAACTTCCCTTAAACCCACTTCCTTAATAGTCCCCTTTCTTCTCCAACCTCACTGCCCCGCCCCCAACCCTGGGCCACCTCCATTCCCCTCCTGTCGTTCTGGAACCGTGAGGATGAGGTCTGCTGTTGCTCCCTATGAGACAAACAGCTCATAAACACTGTTCAATTCGTCTATAGTCCCGTGAGGATGGAAGGTGGGTTTATACAGTTGCTTTCATTTCCTGACATCTGCCTCACCTTGAGAAGCATTGCCATTTGTAGGTTTTATTTGTCTGTCTGCTTTTAGGGGAAGGGGTAGAGATAGCAGGAGACGTCTAGCTGTGAATTCTGAACAAGTTACGGAGCCTTCCTGAGCCTCTGTTTCCTCACCTGTAAGAAGACTGACTATGATACCTGTTCTTACAAAATGAGTGTGCCATAGCCCCTTGCAGGCACAGCTGAAATGATGCTTCACAAATAGTAAACACTCAGAAGATGGTCGCGGGGAGGAGAACGCGCCGAGAAAGTTCCTCTCCAGCCCAGGACCCTGAGCAGAGTCAGGCGAGAGTTAGCGACGGGTCTATTCCTCCAGTGACCGCTAACGATATGACCTGCAAAGGGCGACTCAGAGATACAGGAGCTTGTCAGGGAACTGTGTCCTGGCAGTCACGATTTTGGGTGGCCTCTCTCTCTCTCTCTCTCTCTCTCTCTCTCAGTGCATGGTTTTTCTTTCCTGAAGGTTTTTTTTCCAATTTGGATTTTTAAAATTATTTTTATTGAGGTGTAAGTAGCACACAACCATTATATTAGTCTCAGGGGGGCAACTAATGATTTGATAGTTGTGTATATTGGGAAATGGTCACCATGACATCTGCAGCCACCCAGAGTGACAGGACTTTTTTTCTTAGGATGAGAAGTTTTAAGATGTACTCTCAGCCCGGATGGTGTGGTTCAGTGGTTGAGTGTCAGCCTGTGAGCCAGGAGGTCATGGTTAGATTTGAGGTCAGGGCACGTGCCCGGGTTGCAGGCTCAATTCCCAGTGAGGTCCGTGTAAGAGGCATCCGATCCATGATTCTCTCTCATCATTGATGTTTCTATCTCACTCCCTCTCTCCCTTCCTCTCTCTGAAATCAATTTTTAAAAAAAGAAACATATAAAAAAAAAGTTGTACTGTCTTAGCAACGTTCAAATATGCAATGCGGTGTTATTCACAGAGTCGCTGTGCTGTTTTTAAGGTTTTTGCAGAAAATATTTTTCTTTACCTTCACAAAGTGAAATGTCTGCGCTCCCTGGCTTGTTTGGGTTTTGGCTTCCGTTGGTTCATCCTTTTCAGGGGAAGGTTAGAGAAAGCAAACTCCACTTTCGAGCTGATTCACCGTCTGGGGGACCCCGAAGGCTTAGAGAAAGTGGCCCAAGCCGTAGACCTTATCAGCAGAAAAGAAGTGCCCATCTATTTCTGCCCATTCCGATACCTACCTATAAACTGAGGATTTACCTACAATTTCAGGGTGAGCCTACTCCCCCTAAAGCCCACACATGGCCCCTGGTTAAGAGTCGTGCTCTAGGCAAGCCGTGGGGTCTCCCACGCCTGGGGACACAATCCGTGCTCCGTGTAAGCTGAAGTGGAGAGTTAACACACTGTATTATACTCGCCTTCTGGACCCTCGCTCCAAATTATTTCATCTCTTTGTCTACTCAGACATCATCTCTCCTGCCTCCTGCTCCGTCCCCCCCGCCATACCCCCCCCCACACACACACACACGCACAATAAGATTTCCCTTTGTCTCCGTCTGTTTCGGTGGTTTAGACTCTGGTTGGCGCAATCAAGTCCAAATGCACTCTGCTCCCGCCGCCATTCGTTTCCAGGATTTCTCCGTGGCTCTGTCTTCGGGGAGACTCGGAAATTGATCCGTGGAAACACACATTTCCCCTGAACCCAGTAAGGAGCCTTTCATCACCTGGACAGAGAGGTTTCATTTTGGAAAGGAGCAGACAGAGTTTCTCCGAGGTGCCGTAAATTCTCGAGGTCGCTGGCACATATATTGCATCTGTGTGTGTTTGTGGGATATAAATTACTTTAAAGGAGTTCATTTCGAACAATATCAGGTTTTAATTATGATGATCTCATGTTTGGGTAAAAGGCAGCACCCTGCTGCTAATATCTTCCGAAATGAGCAAGCCATTAGCCTGGTGCTCTCGGCCCGAGAGTATTAGAGGGAGCAGTCGAATTAACATCGTCAGTATTTAATTAAAATATGCCGCAGCTCGCGCCGTATTCAGAGGGCACGTGGTTTAAGCATTCAGGCTGCGAAAGCACCTCATCAATTAATAATTATTAAGGATTCACTCGATGCGGATTGCGCATTGGATGGCTGGCCAGAATGTCACCAGAAGGATTTAAAAGCAATCTGCCTGGGATAAGCCGCCACGCAAGGAAGTCACCTGTCGCAGTCAGCGTGGCATAATGCTTAAGACCACGCTTGCTCAGGATTAAAATGAGGCGGCATCCAGTCCTGGGCCATGGCAAGCATTCGAGTCAGTCATTCAGTAAACATAGATATTTAATGTGCTCGACAGTTTGCT